GGAGTGAAGGAGAGTCGTTGTTCCGATGTTGTTCCGTCGTATAGGGTCGACAAACTGGGATCGCCGGTTTTCACCACCACCGAGCCGAGACTCTCCAAGGGTGTCGAGAAGGTGGACAATCAGAGTGAAAAGACTTTGCTTATCGTTTCTCGGTGAGATTTCGACTTTCGTCCATTATCTTTATTTCAGCATTCGTTCATACTTAATTTTCCCTATATTTTGCCGCTATTGAATGAAATTCCTTTTTTGGTTGATTGAAGCTCTAACCGGGAGTGTAAAGGGAACATTCGATTCAACCTAGGGCTGTTTGAGATCTATCTGGGAGGCACATGTGACGAGCAACGGCTTGGAGAAAACTTGACGGGCTAACGTGCTCGAAAGGTGCTTCCGCTGACAACTAACTCAGCAGTGTCCGGGGATCGCCACATAAAGGTAAGAATTTTTCTGGGGTGTGTTACTTGTAAGTTTAATGCATAGTCCTTATGAGAAATTGAGAAGCATGGTTGTTCTTGGGTATAAGAAGGATGGAAAAGTGAAGCGGCTTTTCGAAAATGTTGATGTACTTAGACCTTCTCCAACCGATTCACATAACCCAAAAAATGAGAGAAATATGCCCCAATCGAACTGCAAATCCCATCGCAAAATCCTTTTTTGGCCTTCTCTCTCCTAGGTGAAACGCAAATTTGCGTTCAACGCTAATATTTTGCGTATCAACTTTTTAATAATTGCAAGATGATCCATTATTTAGTATAAATTAGATATCAAACCAAATATTACATAATATATATAAAATATATAATACATATATATATATATTGTATTTAGTATTATTAACTATTGTTTGTTTTATTAATTTATTATTATTATATATTAGTATATTTGGTAAAAAAATTTACAAACCATATTAATATTAAAAAGGCTTATTTAACACATAAAAAAAGACATTTATATTACCAAATTAATGAATATTAATTATATATTTTTCATAATAATAATAATATTATAATAATATAAAATATTAAAATAATTAATTTCATAAAAATTAGATAGTATAATATTTTAAATAATAAATATTATGTTTATCATTTAATTTTAGACGTATCACAATAATAATGTAAATTATACATATTAATTATGGTAGTTTTATTTAACAAGAAAGGAAAACACTAATGAATATTTATCTTGTGCGTTATAATTTTTAATTTTATCTTCTGCATTATAATATGTTATTTTATCTTGTGTGTTCTATTTTTTTATTTTCATCTTGTGCGTTGTAATTTTTAATTTTATTTGTGTGATGTAATTTTTAATGAATATTTATTTCTCCGATTTTATT